AAAAAAACTTGGAAAGTTAAAAAGAACTCCTAGGCATATTCTAATGAGATATAGCAATATGAAAGAGTTTCTTTTCACCAGGTTGATAAAGCGCTGGCGGGGTGGTATATCATAGTTCTCTTGACCCGAATAAAATAATGCGGATGCCAAATTGTATTTATACACTATTTAGTGTAACTGAAATGTTGCCGACAACACTCTACATGTGAAAGGCACATATGCAATTTCCTCAGCCATTCCTCCACCCTCATTTTCCGTGGAATCCTAATGACGTGGCAAAGAGGTCGTGCTCCCTTCGAGTTAGGAGTTCCCAACCTGACCGTAAATATCAACATAAAAGAACGTTTGAAAAATTCGATGGTAAAAATCTTCAGCATACGATTCTTTGAACTACTTGCTCGAATTTCAAGTCCAAAACAGCATTGTCTAAGCCCCCCCAATTTCTGCCACATATATCACCTCCATGTTGGAACCAGTGTTTTGTAGTCTGCAGCGGTAACTAGTGGTGCTTGAAAGCCAGCTTTGTCGCAATACGAGAATGTGGTGAGGTGAAGCGTACTGAAAATCTGAAGGGATCACTTTTTTAAAATGACTATTTTATGCATGAGAAGTTCAACTGAGCGGAACCTGAAAGGCAGCTTAGCCGCAATACGAGACTAGTAATGAGGTGAAGCGTATTAAATATCACTTTTTTAGGTAACTACGGAATAATTCACTGGAAGAGCTTATTGCCTCACGAATTTCAATGTCCGCAAAAATTTCAAGAATCCGTCCAGTGCAAGTGGAGTTACAAAGGTTTCGCACATGCTGCAATTGCATTCTTTCTTCTCTCGTTCCGACGAAAGCTAAGCAGGGAGGGATGGTAGGGCCACAGAAAAACGTCATGCGTGCTTTGCGACCTTGAGCAATTTTTTTCCTTCGAATGCGCGGCTGCTTCAGTGTGATCGCGCACGCAAGCGTAGACAAATAGCGGCCTCCCATGACGATCTCTGCAACGAGCGAGCGCGCCATGTTCAAACCAGCAAATGGCTGATAGATGGGTCGTTGACGTGATTTTTGGGCATATAACGTTTGTCATGAGAAGAGGAAGCAATTTTTAGCTGACTGATAATTTATGAATTCCAGGCCCTGTGCTGTGCTATAACATTTGGCTCGCATGTCGGGAGCCTCTACTACCAATCAGCAGCGTTTTCTGACTAGGCTCAAGTGTTGCAGGGCCCCTTTTAAGGTGTAATTTGCAGTCAGACATTGACTGCATTTGTCTATGAGAAGTTCGAATAGTAAAGATTTCAACGCAAATCGAATAGCAAACACTATTTGAAAAATATCCGAAATTTCAAATATTTGCACACCTCTAAATATAACCACCTGATAACTGATTGAAGATTGGATATGTAAATTTCATGCATCACTGCCTAGTAAGCAGCCACATCACCCAATGTTTCAGGATAACCTATCCAAAGGTGTAGAGCAGTATTACCGTGACATGAGTGCACTGGTGTACACAATCTAGCTCATCATATTAAACCAAGACAGAAAATGTTAAGGCAAAAACAAAAATTGCTGTGAACTGCAGTTTTACTTTTGAACTGGTTTCTGATTTCTTGATGCACGTGAACATATATAATTACTCATATTTACTTTACACGCAAGCCTGTTTAGCATGAACAAGTACACTCACATAAATTAATTTAGTCAGACTGAATAAATATTCCTAACTTTCAGCTCAAGTCATTGGTATTTGATTACCAAAATGTTACATTATTTCTTTGTTAGAACATAACGGACAATTATCCAGACTTAAAAAGTTGCGTGCAAGTAGTAAAACATTACCAAGTTACTGTGTTGAACTGCCATGAAGAGAGGCATTACTTACAGAGCAAACATGCACAGCAGCAAATGTATACTCAATAATTTGATGTTGTCCAATACAAATATCTTGTCACTAGCCTTTGAACAATTCAGGCAAAATTATCACAACCAATGCTCGTGATATTTCAACCTCCCTTTATACAGTGGAACCCTGATTATAAGACTTTCAGGGGACCACGCAAAACTGTCATACAATCCGGGCGCCGTATAATCGAAAAACTAAGAATATAGCAATGACACTCAGCTTTGTCCCAAAAATGGGTATAGACCGCCTGAATAAGCCCATGACACGGCCTTGTGCCTCTACTAGAAAGAAGATTAAATTATTCTTGCTTCTTGCCAGCGACAGCTAACGGCAGCGTAACGAAGTGGAAAGAGAATTGAATCCAACGCGCATCTTTGTACCGGTAAATAGACTTTGAAATTTGCCTGCGCGTGAAAATGAAACCGAAACAGTGTTGCCAATAGCCTCCCATCAAAATAGTCGGACACAGAGTCATCGCTATCACATAATGGCAACTGACCACAAGTGTGCGTAGAATGCCTTTGTGTGCGACTGAGCTATGCACGTTGTAATTTGCGGCTTTGTGAAGTGCAACTAGTGATGTCCCGCTGTTAGTATGAACGTCGACGTCAAGTGAAAGTAATCTTTCACAGTGAAAACAGCTGCGTCGTGCCTTTATGTGTCCGCAAGCCTGTGACTGCGACAAAGGCAGGAGATCAGCTGTATGTCGACCAGAAAATGTTTCCATGAACCGAAAAGGTTAAAATATCTGCTTTTCGGCCGACTGGAGCTACTTTGTGTGGATAGAGCTTGACTAGGTAACGACCCCAGACGCGCACACTCGATTGCGGTGTAGAAGCGCATGAACATTTAGGAGAATAAATTTTCCATTCCAAGAAGACATCTGTCTCGCTCTTTACCTTTCTAATCATCAACCTAGGGGAACGCAAGTCTACATTTTGCACTCATTAATATTTGGTCTACGCCTGATTCGAGTAAAGGAGTTTTTCTTTTGGACAAAATCTGAATGTCGTCGTAAGATGCGGGGTCGGCGTGAAACTGCGTCATATAACCAAGGTTTTTAATACATTATTCCTATAGGGATATTGCCGGGACCTAACAGATTCATCGTAAAATTCGGGTCGTCGTGAAACCGGGAGACAAATAATCGAAGTTCCACTGTATTTCTCATATTAAAAAACCCTTACATGACTGAAAGTCCTGTTGTAAACATGAAATGTTAACAAGAAAGCATTAATTTTGCAAGTAAGGTGAGAGCAACATTTTAGAATTACGAAGAGGGAAAGGGCACCAGGTGACCTGTTCATATTGCAACATTACACGGGCCGGGGTGAATGAACTTCACAATATCACAAATTTCTTGAGTTTCATGTGCCAAAACACAACACCAAAGCACACCAAAGCACACCAAAGCAAAGGACTACGAAAATTTTGACCACCCAGAGCTCCTTAACGTGCCCTCTAATGTTTTTGCCAGCGCGAAAATCGTGATTGCCCCCGTGACCAGAATCGAAAATATGTCAGTGAATAGACGAGCATGAGTTCTATTCAGTGCTGATTCCTTGAAGATGCCAACTGAGTGCAAGCGAGCTAATGTGAATGAGAGTGAGTAAAGGTGAGAGGAGAGTGCTAGAGAGTGTTTGCTTGTACTTCTGCCTTATGTTAGTGACGAGTTACTTGAATCTAATATAACAATCAATGTGTTGGCCAACATCTGTTCGTTGAAACATGCAGAACGGCTTCAGAAGTATACACAGCAATCTTGACACAGTTTAACAATAGAGCCGTGTTTGCTGAGCAAAGGAACTAGGGCACGCATAGCGCTTTCTCACAGGATCATTTCAATGCGACAGTCATGGCGAACATCGTAAAGACCCAGCCGGAAGGAAGACGTTTACCTTTGTGACACCCTTGATCATGTTCTCCACGTGAGAGCAGACTGTCCGCACAGTGGCGAGTTCCTTGCGGATGCCGAACCACTTTCGCACTTGAAGACGCTTCTTGCCGATCATGCTGATGTCAACCTGAATGTGCCTGAAGTCTCGCGTGAGGACTCCACGGGGTCCCTTGACGCGAACGCGCCGCGAGTTTGCAGACACGGTCACTGCAGGCAAAATAAGACGGGCATGTCGAGCGCAAGCCACAAAACACTGCACGCAACATGCACGCGATGTTCGGTCACGTCACTCGTTAACGCTCAGTCGATGCAAACAAACCTGACCGACAGCGAAACAGACGTAACTAACATTTACTGAGAACACTAATGGAGCATATTCGAGCCGACAGTGTTTGAGCACGTCACACAGCAATGCCGAATGTGATCGGCCGCACGGCCCACGTTTTCTGTAGTCCACGACTGAATAGACGGTGCACGCCCCAGTCAAAAGAAAACGTACAACATTGTTGACACTTTTTAAAAAAACTATGCTCGAAACGTTTCTGACACTGGGGACGGCTAACACAAATTAACAACATTCAATTTACTAGTCGTCAACCTCAATACGGGTGAGAATACCGGTACATGCTGCGCGAAAGTTCAGTAAGCTGCTTACCGTTGTCTGGGATTTTGACGATTTGCTCCGCTTTAATGGTCTTCATCTTGGCTGGGAAAGGAAGAAACAAAACTACTTTACACTTGCGCACAGCAGCAAAAAACTGGTGTACGGTGTGACGACCCAAGTGTATGAAAACCTTTCAGCAACTATTCGTCAAGGAGCATTAGCTCCGATGACATATCTTTAACACTTTACACAAAATTAAAAAAAAGAAACAACCACTACAGCCATTTGATATATAGACAATACTGTCTCAGCAACCAATTTCGGTAGCTAAAAGCAAGCTAGAATTCATGATTATTTCAGATTTCAAACCAAGTGAACATCGGTGTCGTACCTGCTAGCCAGGAATGGCCGTCGAAAAGAGGGGAGCAAATAAAATGTGAAGCAGCAAGTAATACAATTGTATCTAAAATAAAAAGACTCAAGTATTATTATTAGTAATAAATTTGCGTTAAAATACTACTAAGTTGTTTAAAAAAGTTTATCTTTAAAATATGTATGACATATAGTTGTTGTTTCAGGTATTGAAACACCCCACACGGCCATCTTCATAATATCGGTGTGCGATTCCGTGTGTACAAGATTCCTAATGACAATATGACTTCGCACGAGGACTGAAAATGTGAACTATGGACAGCACTGAAAATATATCAAACAGTTGAAGGACTGTTGCAACGTGCCCCGTGACCTGAAAGGCAGTTGTGACAATCGAGCCTTTCAAAAAAATTCATAGACACCACTCGTATATTAGGCTTAAGTTTTTCGTATTGCTCTACTAACTGAACATTAAAAGGAGGCGTACGAAAATCTTCACCCGCGATGATAATCGAGAACTCAGAGGCGCTGAAAAGTTGGCTTACGGGCTACCTAGAACACATGTAAGTAGCGGGAGTTTCGCTGTCCTTGGGCGAGAAAGGCGATTCTTTCGGCTGGTTGGTGTCCACGTACCCAGAAACGAGCTACGCTCTCGTTTATTTGTTCGTTGGACGAGGAAAAAAACGTCTTGTCGCGTACGTGTACGTTTATATTATGACCTGTTCCTGAGCACTGTACCCCACAAAGTCTGCTGTTGCTTGCTGTGACCCCTCGTCTTCGTTTTGCTCATGTGTAGCATCTCTTTGTAAACACAGCTGACCGTACTCGATCGCTGTCCCTGAAACCGAGTGCGATCTGGAAACCAGCGTCAGGCGCAATGTGAGGCACGGCTAACCTGATCGATGCCTCGAAAACCTCACACACTCGCCGTGCGATCCGTTTTCTGTGTGCTCTGCTGAACGCGTAGGCCGAATGTACGTACGTGTGCTGTAATGATGCTGTCATTTTTCTCCACCGAAATCGACATTCGCAATGCCCTGACACCTATTTGCGTAACGCGATCCAGCCACCCACCTGCGTCCTATGCTGGAAGACATGAGCCGGCTTTATTTTCTCATGTCTAGCGTCGTTTAATGATTTTGTCTTGTCGAGACCTGTTGCTTGACTCGTTGCTACTACACCGAACTGAGATTCACAGAACGACGGGATATTGCCCTTTATTTCGAGCGCGTATCAAAATGGGGCTAGTAGGATATTGCGTTGTTTGCGCATGAATGTTTCAATTGGCAGGATTCAAGGCATTCCATGCTGTATGCTATCGATCATTTTGCCCACATATGAAGCTGAATATCGCAAAAGTCTCAAAGTGTGCCTGCAATGACATGACACACTTGCTGTAAGTTTGTCCAAGACGCAGTTTGCAAGAAACCACAGTATGCCATACCTTATACCGCCTTTGCAACCAGATCAGTGTCTGTCGTGCGGAGTTGAGTTTGTAGTCAGTGCATTCTTTCTATCTGTAGGTGTGATGCTGACCCAGTGGCGCTTTCAAAGTATGTCATGGCACTCGTGAAAAAGGACAAGAGCGAGAAGGAGCTCAAAGAGATCTGCATGGATCAGCTTGATGTCTTTCTCCAAAAAGGCAAGATTGTGCTTACATTACAGCTGTTAGCTCTTGACGCTTTTCTATTGTCTTGCTGTCTTCTCTCGTTCCACGTGACAGATTTGTTGCAGGTTGTATGAGTGAGCAGCTTTGTATCGGTTCTTGTAGGACCAAACTGTCGTGTAAGTGTATTCTAGTTTCTGTCGTGAGGCTTCTGCACTCACTATAGCAGTTGGGGCTTACAATGGAGTGCAAGGCACAAAACGGACGCATGGTGAGAGAAATTAAGCTTTCTGTTTATGCCTATGACGATCTGAGGGTGATCAGACTAATTATGCGCATGCATCTGAATGTATCTTTTATAGCTTTGGCAGTGCTTACATAGTGTGCACTTCAAAGTGATTTGGCTCTCTGCTTTATTGATAAACCATCATGAGCGGGTAAAGCAAGGGACCTTGCAAACTAGACACCTGCATTTGGCTTGTCTACCGCCTTTCTTTTGTCCTGGTTTTTCAGTGCACGTCACTATGCAGCTTTGTTAATCTGCCTGAATAGATGCACTTGGCTACCAGGTAGGCAATGGTGGTTTGGCTGCATGATGTGTTTCAATCATGCAGTGTCATGTATGTGAAAGGGCCATTATCTGCTGCATGTAATGCAATGCTACACTCGTGTAGCCTCATGCATGCATTGCAGCAACCATCTTGTGATTAATATGCAAGAACTTAGTGCTGAAGACTTTCAAGAGGGCCTGTAACAGTTTATCAGCATGGTAGGAAGATGCTACCCATCAATAGTTAAGGCTCCTGAGAACATGCAAATCAAACATCATTGTGCTGCACGCTACCTGGAATTTACAATCAATCGTCACAGTTAACTAGACATGGTTCTCTCCTAACAAATGATGCCATAGCCCCAAATGAGTGCTCCATAAACTTTATGAGTCTATGGCTATCGGCCGATTTGAGCATCATAAGCTGCATAGTTATTGGGGTCACCGCAGGATGCCACCATGCACCTGTGCGCTTGCTTGTGATCACGTTGAAAGTAGGCCACGCTTTAAGAAAGAAAAAAAAGTGCTCAAGTTCATGATGTCTTCTTACCCCTCCTGTTATCCCTCTCTCTGGATAGAATTCAGTGCTATCGCTGGTATGACAGGAGAGAAAAAGGGCGCTTAAGCTTGTGACAAATCCCTGCAACCTGAAATTTTGCGCAGTAGTCGATTCGTCAAGGGATAAGTGGATTTATGTAGCCATTTGACGATTGCTTGGAGAAGTGTTGCAGGGCCCTTTTAAATAAAATAAGATGTTGTGAGGCATTGGTATGTGACAGCATGTTTCCTTCACCATAGGATCTCTCTTAGTGCCTCATTTACCATTGTTTGCAACTGTTTCTGGCCCTGTCCTATTTTGAATTGAGTTTATTTCTCCCATTATCAACGAAATTGGTTTTTTTTTCCTCTTCTTCTTTGCATGATGCATGTTCATATGCGGTTTGTCTGCGATTAGTAGTGCCCAGGATATGGTATGCAAGAAATATGATAGAGAGTTATGTGCGATATTATTGGCTTCCCTAAAATGAAAACAGACAGGCTCTCATTTGTACTTTCAGCAGGTTTGGTGGCATGCGTCAATGCACTAGTTAGCAGACAGGACCATCATCACTGAGTGACCTCAAATAGGTTCAGATTTTTCTTTTCCTGACAGGACAACTAGATGGTCATTTGGGCTAACAGCTATGGCAGTAGCTTGACACCAGGCTTGAAGACCTCGCATTATAACAGTACTGTAATACATTGTGTAGGAGTGTCACTAACAGCATTAAAGTTCGATTGTGTAGCATACTGTCTTCCACATAAAAAAAACAAACATACAAACACTGGTAGGATTGCTGTATATGTAAACTGCCGTAGGAAAAAAAAAAGAGTGCTCGCATAAATGCTTCAAAATCTAAGAGTGGGCACACCTAGATACTGCAGTCTGTAGTAAAAAAAAAGAGGATAAACAATGTTAACATAACATTAAAAATAGCATTATGATCACTTGTTTGCAAATACCTTAAAACAGCAAGAGTCTCTTCAACATTGCATTATCCCCAATGCGTTATGCACAGGAACCAAGCCATTTGTGGACATGCTGTTTGAGACCCTGTTGAACAAGTCGTACCTCCAAGGAAAGCCTTACGTGCCAGTAGTTAGTGCAGCAGCACCCTTGCCCGGTGCTGTACCCAGCTCTCTTCAACCGCCACTGCCGCCCCAGCCCTCCTCGGTTGTGCTGGTGCAGCAGTCCAGCATGGTGCCATCTGTACCTCCCCCTGTGCTGCTGGCTGTGCCAGCGCACAAGGAAGGTGCGGGGGGGCTCGGTGCTGCGGGGCTGTCCCCTCCGCCCGTTGCCGCGGGTTGCTGCGGAGGCCTCTTCCCTGCCCACTTCAGCTGCACTAGGTGGCAGCAAGCCCACGTCAACAGCCACAACCGTTGCCGCTGGCGCTGCCATACCAGTGGCGGCTGCCACTGTTGTATCCACTCGCAAAGATGAGGTGAGTTAGCCCGAGAAGACGTTGGGCGATGCCGGCATATATAACGTTGATTCAGAGTACTTGTTTTAAATAAAATTAACTGAATGGTACAGGACACTACATTGCGATGGTTAGATTGTGCCTAGCCTGAAAAAAAACAATATAATGTTTGTGTTCTTCACTTGAAGTGCCTGGTAACAGGAAGCATTGTGAACTTTCACATTGCTTATTTGCAATAATCCACTCTGACATTTAAGTAGCACTATGTATGTTGGGGGTGAATAAATGTATATTTTCCCCCACATTTTCAGCTTGTTTCATAAGGAGCTATAAAACTTTCTATTCAATATTACACTGGAAAGTTGCTACAGTTGAACTCCTGTATAAAAGAGACGCTCCGGCGGGGAATGCTTGCTTTTATATGTGGGGTCTCTTATAAGCAGGGTACTACGTTTGAATTTTATTATATTGCTGTGTAGGTCCACTGGCATTTATAATGCCTATTTGTTTCTTATAAAGGAGTTTGATTATTTGAGGAGTGTGCACTGCAAGTCCAGTCTGACCTGACATTTCACTTACAAGCATTTGTCAAATGCTGTTCATTAAAATAGGCTTTTGCAATTATTGTGGGCAGCAAATGTAGAATGCTGGGCTGACGTATCTACTCTTTTGTAGGTACCTCCAGTAGAAGAGGACAAGGAACAAGCCAGAAGCAGCCATCGGAAGTCGAAGAGCCGGTCACGAAGTCCTGTAGGAGGCAGGAGCCGCAACCGGAGTCGGTGAGTTTGCATCGTAGTTTTTCACTAGTGCCGACAAGTGGGTCATGTCATGCATCATTGAAAATGGTGATGCAGGGAATGTGAGTCAAGATTGTGAGCTAATAGCTAATGCTGCTACGCGGGGCATGCAGCCACATTCATGGCTATGGATACCTGAGGGCATTGCGTGCGTTTCTCTCGCATTCAAATGTTTTTCATCCTGTGCTTGTTTTGTAATATATTACGGACCCACTTAAGCTCGCATTCTAAATTGCATGGCATAATTCAATAGATGAAAAATTTGTAAATATGGGGTGTCCCTGTATCTGATATTTTGACAAGCGGACTTGCCTTCCTCAAGGCTTCAGCTGCTTTCCTTAGCACGTGTGTGCTTCAGCCAGGGCAGAGTAGGAAGAGAGGGCGACTGTAAATAGGGGTGGGGATGGGCGAGAGAAGGGGTAGGGGTGTGGATTTGGACGAGTAAAAAAAAAAAGGGAGACCCTTAAGCTTCGCCTTTAAGAGTTGAGCGCGATAGCGAAATTCGGCCCCTAGTGCGCCCTTCAACCGCTAAGTGCATACTTATTAATATGTTTTGTTACACGCACATGCACGCACACAGTCGATTGTACCAGTGCGCACACAGCGAATGGTACTTACATGTTCTAAAGCACGAGTCTCATGACCTCCTAAGATACAGGCCTGCGCATTTGCTGTCTCGGAGGCAGTAAAGAGTGTCACAATGCCTCACAGATGGCAGCACATTATCTAGTGTTTTCTGTTTGCTTGATCAACGCCTCTGTAAAGGCATGATATGTTTTTCGCTAGATGCACATAGTCTGTCCATTTTTAGAGCTGTTTGAAAGTTCGTGTGTTTTTTTAGCGGCAATGGCTGCACTATCCCGACCTTTTTCGACGTAGCTTGATGGCCTCCCAAATGCGCCTACAATATCGCCGAATGGGCTCGTTTTTGTTGCTGACACCTGTGGAAAAAAATGCGTTAAGGAGACTCCTTCCACTACATGGCATTTATGTAGTCTTTTTTCACGTAGCAGCTGCAAGTAACAATGTGGCCTTGTGGTAGGACACCTGCTTGCTACGCAAATGGCCCAGGTTCGATTATCAATGGGACGAAAAATTTTATTCTTTATTTATTTGCTTCTTTCTCGATTTTTCGCTCACGGATGATTTTTAGGTCACAACTAACGGTGCCGACGCCAGCAGCGGAATTTCTGCGACACGAGCTCTCTAATGCTATCGTGTTAAAAATGGAACAGTCTGTGAAAAAGAAGAAAGCAATGGGGTTCGGGAGGGATATTCATGTGGAAGGATAGAAGAGTGGTAGACATTCAGCTGAATCATGGTTGTCAGATAGAAGCACCACTGCACAATCATAATTTTATAAGGATAAGCACAGTATCTTTTAGAAGAGCTTAATTCTCACAGGTTTTCATTCAGCACATACTTTATTGGATGAATTCAAGAGCCCTCTTTAAAACTATCATACCTGTTGGCTGGTGTGTATTAAAGTTAAGAATAAGAAGAATAAGGTATGACTGTCTACATTCGGTGTCTTTTGGTGACCGAAAGTTTGAAGTATGTAAAGTTTGAGATCGTTAAAGGTGCAACCTGCCGCGCTAAATCTGTGGCACCGTTTCACTGTGTGCACGAAAACCTCAAGCTTCACACACTTCAGTCAAATTTCAGGTCCCTGTAACACAGTTTGAATCATACCCTATTCACAAGTTTAATACATTTAATACACTGCAGCCAACAGGTTCAGATATTTAAGAGGGGGCTCTTGAACCCACCCAATAGGGTACATACACAATAAAAACCTGTGAGAAGTAAGCCCTTCTAGGAATTTTTAACTGCACTTATCGCTGTGAAGTTGTCATTTTCCAGCGATGGGGGTTTAGTCTTACAATCATAATTCAGTGAAACCTCCACCTTCCTTCTACTTTTCGACATGTATACTCTAGGCTTGTGTAAATAGTGAATTTTGTGTTCGAAGTGAATTTGAAGTGAAAAGATGATTTGAGTTTATAATCGGGCATTCCAAACCTCGATATAATGAAACATCAGTTATAATGAAGTTAATAGTCTTGCAATAGACATAGTGTTAGGGATATACTTTTATAATGAATTTTTGGTTATCTAAACGAGCTTATTGTTGTGTAAATGCAATTTTGTTATAATGAAGCTTGAATGTATATCACATATTATAAAGAATAATGAGCATGTTTGTCATGACCCAACTAATCTGCTCAATATTTTTTTATAATTGAAACAAGCCATGTTGCTAATATCATTCTTTATGGTTCAAAAAAAGTAAAAGCAACTTAAAGTAATGACAAGGTTTGGCTTTCGGTAGAATGCAAGTGATAACCTGTAAAATATGTTATGTTTTAAAATTTGCTTTACTTAGAGCATGTAAGCTGGTCTAACAAGCTTTTAAACTTAAAATATTGTGAATCGCTATGAAGGTAATTAGTATATTCCTTCAACCGTGAAGTGGGGCTACGTGACTATGCTGGTTTTCTGTGGAAAGGTGTATTCACAGCATAGCATTTTGCCACTGCAGTGAAACCACCTTTACAGGGGATTACATGTGGACTACAGTGAAAGCTTGTTAATTCGCACCTCATCAATTCAAGCTTTCAGGTTAATTTGAACTGATGGTCATGGTCTGGCCACGATATATAGGGTTAACCATCTCATTAGTTCTTGCGCGCATCGGCTCCTCTATGGATAATTCAAACGGCGCGCAACTGCGTGGTGGTATTTTGTACGGCCGTCGTAAGCTTTTATGGCTCAACGATAGATGGCGCCAGCGCTGAGCGCAGTGCCCGGATATGCGGCGTCACTGGCGTCATTGCGCTCGCTGTTCGCATCGTGTGGTGTTTTATGCCAGACATGTCTCTGTAGTCACCGTGTCCTTTGTGTGCTGCACATTGAGTAGCTAGGCCTTGTGTACGTCAGCGCTACAAAGTTGTTTGGTGCAATGTCGTGGGTTCTGTACTACGTGAAGTTATGGTGTTGCCTTCGGATGCTGGACCTAACATATCTGCACTTACTATGACTCCTTGCGAAAGATGACAGACCACCGAAACGCTCAAGGAGAAGGTAGAAATCCTTCATCAAGTGGGCGGTGGCAAAAAAAGCATGCCTGAAATCGCAAGGAAACATGGCATCGCCGAAACCACTCTTTCAAGATGTATAAAAAATAGAGCGCTATTGAGGAGGCAGGCCTACGCAACTGATGCATTCACTGGCAGTCGTAAGAAACATTGCTTGGCGAAGCACCCAGAATCGGGGCACTCAGTGCTCCTGTGGATCAAGGAAATGAGGGGCCAAAACATCCCACTGAGCATCCCTATCGTTATGGCGAAGGTAGCAGCATACGCACTTCGCCTGAACATTGATGATTTTAAACCTTCTGAGGGCTAGCTCAATTGTTTACGAGAGAAATACGAGGTTGTGTTCCACACCGTGTCTGGCGAAGGCAAAGAAGTGAACAGCGAGACATGCGCAAAGTGGCAAAGCGGTGCTTTGCAAGAACGCCTTCACGCTTATTCATCGTGTCACATATTAATGCCGATGAAACCGCATTGTTTTATAAGCTACTCCCGAGCAAAACGTTGGCCTACAAAGATGACAACTGTGCTGGCGCGAAGAGAAGCTAAGAGCACATTACTGTCTTGGTCGCAGTTAACATGACCGGAGCCGGAAAACTACCGCTTCTGATCATAGGGAAGGCCCTGAAGCCTCGTTGCTTCAAGAACATCCGCACACTACCGGCGGAATATACAGCCAACTGTGAGGCATGGATGCTGCAGGAAATATTGAAACATTGGCTGATAAATCTTGATGGCATGTTTGAATTAGCTAACAGGAGGATGCTTGTGGTAGTCGACAACTGCTCAGCGCACGCGGTTGGTGTCGACTTGAAGGCAATGAAGCTCTCGTTTCTGCCACTGAACACAACGGCAGCCCTACAACCAATGTACCAGGGTTCATTAAGAACTTGAAGTGCTTTTACAGGCGCCACATGTTGGAATGTTTGGTGCTGTGCGCCGCCGCTGCAAAATGCTACGGAGTGGGCTTAACTATAGCATTGGCGGCAACATGCCTAAAAATACGCTTTGCTTCATTATCCAGGTTTTCATCGTAATTCTGCAAACTGCGCATGAAGCTTCCTCGACGGCAGTACTCATGGATGACGCTCCTGGGCTTGACCCGGCTGCATCGATGCTGACAGGAGATTGCGCTTGGCCCGATAAATTCTGCGTGATGACGCCCATCCTGATACCATCGACGATTACGGCAAGCCACGTGGTCTATTCCCCGTCTATAAAAAGCTGGTCAGCTCAGCTTTGCGACAGTGGGCTCGGTGATGACACTGGCGGCAACATGCTTAGAAGTCCGCTTTGCTTCGTTATCCAGGTTTTCATCGGAATGCTGCAAACTGCGCATGAAGCTTCTTCGACGGCAGTACTCATGGACGACGCTCCTGGGCTTGACCCGGCTGCATCGATGCTGACTGGAGACTGCGCTTGGCCCAATGAATTCTGCGTGGTGATGCCCATCGAGATACCATCGACGATTTCGGCAAGGCACGTGGTCCATTCCTTGTCTATAAGAAGTCAGTCAACTCAGCTCTGCGAAAGTGGGCTCGACGATAGCACTGACGGCAACATGTTTAGAAATCCGCTTTGCTTCGTTACCCAGGTTAGTAACTATTTGTGTGAGATTTGTTACCGAAGTGATAACCGGTTCCTAGTGCTGTTGCCTTGCCCACTGTGTATAAAATGGTTTTTAAATTGTGTTTAGCCTTCTGGCAATGACCAGCTATGTCGTGGTGATATCGAGGCCAATCCTGGGCCCTCTGATAGGAAAATGTTATCCGAAATATTGAAAGGTAAAAAACTATCAGTTCTGCAGTTGAGGGCATACAGAGTGTACAGAAAATGATAGAAAAGAAGCCTACCAGAACACCTGAACTCATTTATAACATTGATGAA